TAGACGACCACTACTACCAACTCCACCAGTAACTAACACTTTTCCATCGGTTAATACGGATGCTGTATGCTGATTTCGTGCATCATTCATACTGCCAGTGTTAAACCATTCTAAAACACCCTTTACATATATTCACGCAGACAAATTGTAAATCATCGAACACACAAGATTGCCTGTCCATGAGGGGAAGGTTTTTAGATATTGTAAAACGAAAACCATTTTTTACTTTTAGTGAAGACCTATGTGATGTGATAGGGGCATGGCAGCTTTTTCTTTCTTGCCTATTCGACATTGTGTGCGAGTAACAGATAAAGAGGGTCTGTATTTTGAAACTGACATGGTATTAATCACATTAGTTAGTGCACTTTTTAGATTATCTTCAAACTCTATGAGCCGTAATCGAGGATGTCCAATGTATTGAGAAGTAGGAAGTTCTCCTCGATTCCTCCACAATTCCTAAACTCAAAATCATTTATAGGAAATCGAAAACGCACTTTTTCATAGCTCTGTGAAACTTTGAAGAAGTACTGTCAAGATTTTCGTAATACTGAATAACTTCTGAGTTTCTTTTTGACCGTCTATGTGTTTCGAAGTGTTCTCTATATAAGTAACCACTACGGAGATTGGAAAGGTAAGATTCATGGTGGTACCGATGAACTTTAACTAAATATGTAGGATCGAAATCTAAATTGAAACTCTGCTCGAACTTCGAATTACTACGAACTTATGCGACACAATATGTCAGGAGAACACTCAAACGTAGAGCTTACCTCTGGTTGTAGATATGGATGATGTTGTCGTTGATCTAGTTGTAGATCTGATACTACTACTCTGTCCACTAGCTAGAAATATATAAACAAACGAACAATAGAAATAGCAAAGCTTACGATGACGGTTTCACTTACTTGTTCTGCTAGTTGCCACCGTAGTATTTATGGGTCGAGCTCAAACAAAGAAGCAGAATCTTGTAACATTTTTTCGAAACTTTACATACTGGTCGTAATTGGTGTCGTTACTCTCGTTGAAGCCATTGAATTTGTAGCTGAAATGAATGAAAATAGAAGTCTTGTAGATCTTTTCTTCCGAGGATCGTGCTACAAACCTCTTATTACAGATGTAGTTGTTGCATCTAAAAAGGTAACAGTAAAAATAAAAGACAACACTTTATAATGACATCAAGCAAAGATCCTTACTATGAGCGACTGTTGTGTTTGCAGCTCTTATTGATGACGCTATAAGAATTATGGATGTATTGTAGATAAACATAAGAACTTTATTTAGAAAAATGAATATAATGTCGAATTGTAAGCGTTTCTTGTCAAATATTGTGAATAATGTCCAAATTTTTCTCTACACTGCTTGAGTATACTGTTGTATATTATTTTAATGCATGACTTACGAGGAAACATTCCCAAATATCACATCGCTTTTGTAGTGAAACCTAAAGGATGATAGGTAATCGAGTATGCTGATTCGGAAAATCACAATTGTTTTTGCTTCTAGGCCTCGATAAATCCAATTTTCTGAAAAATCTGTTTTTCAACTTGAAAAACTTCTCGTGCAAAATAATTACTTTGATCGATTAATCGTGCACAACATGTTAAATTGTGTATAAAGCTATATTTTTTTTCTTCTTTGAAACCTCTCCAAAGTTAGAAAAACTACAAAAGGATAAAGATGAACAAACGAAGCGCTTTTGGAACATACAATTTTTTTTCAATGAATCGTACAATCTTGTGAATTTCTCGTCGGCTAGGATAGAAATAGCATTTTTTTGACTCGAGCAACTGTTTTGATCACAGGTAAATCGTACACAAGGGCAAAATTTTGAAGAGCAATGAAAAACATTCCATTTGTCAGACTTTCGAGAGGATTCAAAGCAGAAAAAATACAGAGCACACTCGATTGCCTATCACCCAGTGGGTTTCGCCTCAAAAGCGATTGTAACGCTCGAGAATGTTCCTTCGTTAGTCTAGTACTTGTCCCTCTAGTCGTTATAATAGTATTAGGCTCGATAGTAATACTTGTAGTAGTTGAATTCGTTATCATCATCCAGCCTTGAAATAATAACAAGATAAAAACATTCTGTTTTAGTAAATTTTACACAATAATGAAAAATTTTATTGTTTATACTGACTGGTTGAATTTCGAATGACTGTTGCATTGGCTATAGAAAAAAAGATACATTAAAATAAGAAAAGCGTCGACAGAACAATAACTATCATTCACTTACTCCGCATCGCTGACGTTGAAGTGTTTGGGTTGGAACGAATTGATGTTGCTATTAGCATAGACAAAGAAATGCATATTAATACAAAATATTTTGAAAAATTCTTACTTGTTGTCGATGCTGATAAGGTTGCCCTTGTTGTTGATGCTGATAAGGTTGCCCTTGTTGTTGCATCTGAAAAGGTAAAAAAGTACATTTGCTCCTGGTTCTTCGTTGTAAAAGGGCAAATTGAGCCTTACTCGTAACTGTTGGGGTCATAGTTGTTATTTGATCTAAGACAAAAAAGTTATGTTTTTTTTTAATAAAAGTTCATCTCTATATTGTGTAATCGTTGCATTCTTACGCACTCAGAGGGCATATTTGAATATTGGCCAGTGCCTTTGGATAACAAACAGGTTGTTGACACCGTGTAATATTAACACAAATTGTTTCTGCAATTGAACATGTAACATTATCTAAATTACATCGAGCCATTGAATTGCACGGTAGAACGGCAATAGCACAAATGCCCGAGATAAGTCCATTTATAGTATTAGTTAATGAAAAACAGTCACAATCGAGATTCGAAGAACAGGACAAAGAGGAGGATTTACAAAGAGTTGAATTGCATGTTGCCAAGGCTGGGCTGGGTGATGATGTTGTTGATTGAGCTATGACACGGTAGGAATCA